TCTTCTTTATTTCCCTTTTACAAATAGGTGGATTGTACCTGGAGAAAAAAAGTGATTGTATTTCAGGACTTGAATATTATGAAGGAACTCAGGAAAAAGGTAGCTGTTAATCCTGTAGCTTCTATGTACATACAAGAAGAACCTCCACAAATAAGATAACACATAACATTTGCATGATCCCAAAATGGGAGGAGACCAAGGCAAGAGACAAGTACACTACCTTCTCAACTTCTTCAATTAGTAACACCAGCTTATTAAGGTTATATGAAATGACACATTATATAAAGATATATTTATAGAATAAATACATAAAAATGAAGTAAAGTTTAGTAGGTAAAAAGTGAGATATTCAGTTTATAATGTAAGTAACAATCCTGGACAATATAAGAACTGTCATTATAAATGAGTCTTCAGAAATACAGTCCCAGCACACTTTATTATGAGCCAACATGCAGGAAGCCAAGATGCCATTTCCCATCTTCAAGAAAATTACTTTTAAATCCCACATTTGGTGACCTTTATTAAATCACCACTAATGAAAGTCTTAACAACAAATACGATGTAGTTGGAGGCCTGTCAAGACATATAATTTCTTTTTATTCCTCCTTTTAGGCTCAATAATCCGTCAGGGAATCTCCTTAGATGATGGCATCTCATTATCTCTTCAAGCATGTCAGCATTTAATGTTAATTTTACTCACTGATGACAACTTTCAGTAAGATTCCATTACTTGGAAACCTATAGGAAGAAGAGGCACCTCAGTAGTTTTCAACTCATTTTCAGTAGCGCAAGCCAGCATAATTTTGGGAAGGCACATTTTCAAAACTGCCTTAAACCTATTTAAATACTTCCATAATTCACACTGAAAGGACACACAAGTCCTTTAATGTATTAATAATTCATGTAATTACCAATATTAAAACCCATCATGCAGTTATCTTTCTAGCAAATAATATGCATCAAAACATTCTTACTCTGATCCAGAGGAACCACCTTAGCAGAAAATAAATCTTTCAGAGAAGGTGTTCTAAATAAGCCTTTGCAAGCACTGCTGACTTTTCTAACCTCTGCAGCATCAGCAGGAGGTGTTGGATGGAAAACAGAAGAAGCTTCATCTTTTTTTTCAGAAATTATTACTACTGGTTTCTGTGACAAAAATAAAGAAGACTTTTAAACAAAAGCACAGATAATTTAATTTTCATTTAAGTAAAAAATAAAGAAAAAGAAATCCACATAACTTCTAACAAAGGACTAAGTTCAAACTAGAACAGAAGTTACACTGGCTTGCTCATTAAGAAATTTTCATATCCTGAATCTAATGATACTGTTCCACCAAACAAACCAGATGTCTATACCATTATCACCATAGAAAGCCAACATTCAGGGGTGCAGAAAACAAAACCTAGCTTGAGTAGAACTCAGAATTATTTATTCCTCCTAAGTACTCATTTAACTACATCTGCAGCAAGCTTATTTATCAAAGAAAATATTGTGCCAATGACTATTGCTGACAATTCTAGATACATCTATTATTTGGTTTGCATTGGAGCATTAAAACAGTATTTCCAAAACACTCCAAATACGTTCACATCATATGTACTACTTTCTATCACACTGAGACAAATCATGCAGATCCAGAGACATGAAAGTCCTAGTTTCATGTCAGTGTCTTGCACCTTAGAGGAGGTGAACAAGTCCCTGAATCTCTAGTATCAAGCACTTGCTGTGCCCTTGACCTACATAAAAGCACTGACCTCTAAAATCAATACCAATCTCTTTAAAATAAAGAATCCACTAGAAAGTCTCCAGCTGATCCTTCAGAGCTCTCCACAGTATTAAGGAGCCAACAGGTGAGACTGACTACTTACAACCACCATAATTAATACAAACTCTTAATTTACAGTGTATTAATTTATAGCCATTGATAAAGGAAAAAAAAAAAAAGGCATGTTTTGCATTAGTCAGTAGTTTTCTCTATTTTTTTCCACTCTCACAAAATACATGAAAATTTAACACCAGTTCTTAAATCCAAATGTTGATATACTTAATCTAAAGAGAAGCATGCTCAGAATTTTTAAACCTGATTCATGTAAATACATTCCCTTATCCAAATTACTAAAATATAAAATTTCTTGGATATTTCCCCTAATTTCCTAAAGAATTTCCTAAAGGTTCCTGTCTGGAAAAAGCAATGTATACAGCAAGCACATTTAATTGCTATAGCACACTCTGTTATCTTGGGTACTGAACAAACAGTCGTGACTTAATCCTATATTTAAAGACCAAATATAAAAAAAACTGTGAAAGAGCAGATACACTTATAAATTGAAAACAATTCACAGCTTTCACAGAGGAAGAAAAGTGGCTCTTAAAAGACCTCTATCTGTTTTGAAATAAACTACAATCATGACATCTTATAGAAATGTAAGCCAAATAGAAAGGAACCTAGTTACCTTCAAGTTACTGTTCACAGAACCACAGAATAGATGAGGTTGGAAAGGACCTCTGGAGGTCCAAGCCCTGTATTCAACTACAGTCACCTAAACTCAGTTGCCCAGGACCATGCCCAAGAAACTTCTGAAGATCTCTGGGCAAGCTGTGCCAAGGCCTTATCACCTCACAGCAGGAAAACTGTTTCCTGAGTTTCAGAGGAAACATCCTGTGCCCTAGTTTGTGCCCTCTGCCTCTGGTCCAGTTGCTGCAAAGAGGCTGGTCCCGTCCTCTTTGCATCTGGCTTTCAGGTATTTACATCCATGGATAAGGTCCTCCCTTGGTCTTCTCCAGGCTGAACATTCTAATTTCTCCCTGTCCCTTCATCACCTTTGGGGATGTTCATCAGATTCTCTCCAGTAGCTCCATGTCTTTCTCATATTGTGGAGCCCAGAATTGCATACAGAACTCCAGGTGTGGCCTTACCAGTGTTAAGCAGAGAGGAAGGATCACTTCCCTCAACCTGCTGCCAACACTCCTCCTAATGCAGCCCCAGATACCATCAGCCACTTTCTTAACAGCCAGGGTACGCTGCTGGCACATGTTTACGCTTCACCTATTTCAGTAAACTTACACAAGAAAGCTGACTCAAGTATCAGTCTTTCAATTCTTGTTAATGTCACTTTGAGTCACAAAGCAATACAGCAATAGTTAAGTAGTTTAAATTATTTTTGGGTTTGTTTTGGAGGAAAAATTACAAAACTGACTTTCTAAGTCTCAGACTAATGTTATAACAAGCCTCCATTTTCCCCCAATGTCTATAAACCATTTATTTTCCTAACACTACCAAGACACATATTTTTAAAGCAGTAGTGCATGAGTTATTTCCAGAGTACTTACATGAGTCAGTGGACTTAGACGAACAGCAGAATTTGGTCTTGATTCAGACAAATCAGAACTGGATGTATCAAGACTAATGAAGAAATTGAACATAGTTAGAATAAAGCAGATGCAGAGTTGTGTGATCAGCTGGTTTTTTTAATTGCATGCTTCTTCCCTTTGCCAGTGAATATGGGGAAAGGGAAGAAAGGAAAAGTGACAAGAGCACATCATGGTACCAAAACTCCAACTAGAAATAATTTTGAGGTAGCAAAAACTTTGTTTGAAAAATGAGCATTTCAAACTGCAGGTCCTAAAATTTCACATTTAAAAGATCTCAGAAGGTTCTGAAAAAAGATCTAGCCCATACATTATAGGAAACAAGCAAGCTTTCACATATTCTAGGAAAAAAGCTGAAGACTATCTCAATTAAAAGCATTCAATTGTCTCAAGAAAAGGTAACTAACAGACTATTTTCTTATACTATTTTACACATAAAAAAGTAGTGTAGTGACTGCCTCTGGTAGCTCTAATCCAGAGAAACTTCCTGGACATGTAGAATAACACCAACAGTAAAGATCATTAGAAGAAGGCAAAGGATGTGACTAGGAATACAGATTAACACAGGGAAAATAACCACCAGAAGCATAATTCGAGAATCAAATCTCTTGCTGCTAAAGGATATTTGAAAACATCTTAAAGCCACAGTACCTAAGAAGTACAGGGCGTCTATTTTGAGGACATTGTGAAGATTGAGACCCAAAAAGTTTCCTTTGTTCATCTGTAGGTGTGAATAATCTTTGAGTTTTTACTGTTTGTAGGGCATCTCTGGCTTCATTTACAATCTCAGAACTGGTCTTAGGCTTTGCCACTGACAGCCAGTAGAATGGTTCTGCTTTTCTTCTATTTTCAGTCTTTGAAGCTTGCATTCCTCTGCAAAGTACTGCACAGGAAGACCACTGGAAAATATATGTGAATGGCACAAAGTATTATACTAGTTTTAAATTACAAACTATTAATTAATCACTGGTTATGCTACCACAGTAAATCCTAGACAGTGCTGAAATAGTGGGAAATAAGGTACACTGATAATGCATTTCCTCTCTGTTCTTCAGTTCTGTAGGAAAATACTCAAAACCAGAAAGCATCTGACATGAAGGATCTACCTTCAGTTTTTCTACAGGATACTAAAATCCATCACTGTGCTTCATGGGCCAAATGTGGTCCTCTACAATTCCATAGAAAATCTGTTTCTTGACACCCAGTTACTTAGGAAACACCACAGTCAAAACAGGAATTCAATAATATGCTGCAAAGAGACAGGTTTTTCCAACTTAAGAAAACCCCAATACATATTATCGACCTTACCAAGGGCAAGGACAGTTTCAGCAATTGATAAGCAGAGATAAGGAAGAACAGGCAATCAATTTTTTTCCTTTTCCAATCCAACTCCCCAACCCACCCCCAAGCACAGGCAAAGAAAGATAACACCAATACAAGTTATAAACCCAAACTTCTAATTAGTATTCTGTCCTGCTGTAGTTTCTGGGAAATGCAGTGGGCAGTGACAGACTTGCTCCATCACTCCCTGGACCCACAGCCCATCACTACCATGGTGCAGTTATCATCACTACCATGGTGTAGGTATCATCCTTGCCAATCACTCCCTGGACCCACAGCCCATCACTATCATGGTGCAGTTCTCTGTAGGTATCATCCTTGTCGTTTTACAGCAAACTCATCATGAGTCTTACACCATGCAAAATTCCTCTTCTGCTTTCAAGCTTACCTAAAAACAAAAATATGTTTCTGCATTGTGACTCAGACCATCTGGTAACTTCTATTCTCTCACACAGTTTATGACAATGAACTGACAGTAGATCAAACACCATCATCTGGCTTATTTCTAAACTATGGAGTAAAAAAAAAATCTTATATCCTTAGTTTCTTAGTTCAATTATTCCTGTTCTGCAGTCTAACTTTTCCAGCTGCTTCTCCTTTCTTTGAGAGCCAGCACATTCTGGCAGTGTCTGTCATTGTTGCACACCCAACATAAAACTGGAGACATAAAAAACATAAAAAAGGAGAACTGCACCAACTCTTTCACTAAATGATGCATAATAATAAAACCCTCAGGAACAGATCAGGAGCCTGAGACTATCAGTGTTTTTAATACTTCCAACTACCATTAATATATTACTTGTTTTCGCTGTGACTGAATTTTGTTCTGTGTGCTCCTTACTCTTCCCTCTATTACAATGTGGTTAAAAAAACAGTAAGGAATTCCACTGCAGCTGTCTGTTTAGAAAAAAAATTATACAGTCAGTTCTCACTGAAAAAAGCAAGATGGACTACTATTCCCTATTCCTCCAGCTACTGGGAGCCAGAATTTTGACCTTAAGTGGAAGGTTTTCTCTGTAGGCCTTATGTCTGATACAGTTGGCAATGTCCTGTGCAGGGCCAGGAGCTGGACTTCATGGTCCTTGTGAGTCCCTTCCAACTCAGCATATTCTGTGATTCTGTAATTTTTACTCTCCAGTCCCAGCAGGAAACAGATAGAGGGAAGACTGCATGTCAACGGGGACAGCACAATAACTGGTACACACAGATCTTGTCCCTCACTACTGTCACCATTTCCCAAGTAGCCTTTAACTTGCACAAGAGCTCCTCTCTGCCTCTCTGCTGTGAGGTAGAAGAGTATCACAGCAGTGTCTGAAAACCCATACTTGGGCTCTTGTCTTTATTCCCCAGTTGTTTACCCCAGAATTCTGGTCTTTGCTGTACAGAAAGATTTTAAAGCAGTAGATAGCAGTACAGGATCCACACATTAGTGCCAGCCACGACCAGAAGTGAGACAGCTGTACTCTCACAGCTCTTAGCTCAGTCAAGATTAGAGAAGCATGGTTGGCTACATCAGATATGGCACCACACTGGCTCTGCCATCTCACACAGCCTCTGCCATCTCACACTGCCTCTGCCATCCTCTTTCCCATCTCAAGACTGGTTTAATTGCTAGGGTGCAGAGCGGGTGTATTTGCAATCACTAAGTACAGTGAAGAGAAGCTCTGTATCCAAGCTATGAACATTCTGCTCTCTGACATTTGAATCCATGTTCTGTCTGCCCTGGCAAATCTCTAGAACAGTCAGCACACAGGCACAGACTCAGTAAGAATCCCAGAATCACTGAGGTTGGAAGAGATCTTTAAGATCATCAAGTCCACCAGCAAACCCTGCACTGCCCCTGTACTCCCTAATCTACATCAACCAGTGCCAGATCCAGATGCCTCCTAAACTCGTCCAAGGCTGGTGACTCCATCACCTTCCTGGCTAACCTATTCCAGTGCATGGCCATCCTAACAGTGAATTTTCTTTTTCTAATATCGAGTCTGCATCTCCCCCGTCTCAGCCTAAGGCCATTTCCTCTTGTCCTTTCACTGCAGGCACGGTAGAAGAGATGGATCCCCACCTCACTACATCCTCCCTTCAGGAGTGTGTAAACAACAGCTATTGTTAGACATAATTCTGATTAACAGAAACTTACCAATCACAACTGGTGCACTTTCACCCCGGTGAAATTTTGACGCAAAGAAATCGCTATCAGAGAGAAACAAGAACGAAGTTACGAGAGCTGAGTTCTCAGCGCAGTTAGGTTTCCAGGTGAGCCGTGGGACAACACATCCCAGGGGAACCCCCCAGATAAGCAGTACCGGCGGAGTAAACGCTGTCCCAGCCACACCCGGCAATCACGCCTCTCTCCCAAGCCCGGGAAAGCTGCCAGGAGGCGGCACGCGGGTTATCAGTCTCCGGCCGCTTTCCAAAGCCTCCCGCCCGACTTACCGCACAGTCCGGCCCTTCGCCCCCGCCCGGCCAGGCGGCACCCCCAGGGACGAGCACTACGGCCGGCGGGGGCACCGGGCGCTGCCCGGGGGACTCGGTCGGGACCCGCCAGCGCCTCCGCAGGGCCCCGGCCTGCCTCAGCCGCTCGCCGTTCCCATAGCAACCGTACGCGCCGCGCCGCCGCCGCCGGGCCGGAGCGGGGCCGCGCCCCCCGCGGGGCCGCCCGAACACCCCGAGGCGCACGCGCGAGCACCTGCGCGCGCGGGCGCGTGCGCGGCCGCTGCCTGGCCCGGATGGGGGGGCCCAGATCCCGGGAATGGCAGTGCCCACATCCCGGGGATGGCGTGCCCAGATCCCGAGGATGACAGTGCCGAGATCCCGGCACTGCCGGGGATGGCAGTGCCCAGATCCTAGGGATGGCGTACCCACATCCCAGGGATGGCGTGCCCAGCATCCCAGGGATGGCGTGCCCACATCCCGGGCATGGCAGTGCCCGTGCAGGCTCCTGCCGGGGTGCTGGCCTGCAGGACGGTGGGTTCCTGGTGGAGAGCTCTCCCCCGGGGCCAGGCCTAGCCCACGTTTATGGACAGCGTGGTGGCGGCTGGCACACGCCCAGGGCACAGCTGGCAGAAGTTACTCGGGGTGACCTGCGCTTGTTGCCAGTGTAGGGACGCTAAACACAGACACGGGCCCGGTTTAGAGAGGAGATGGTTTTTGTTCTGTGCAGGGTGCAGAGTGGAAGTGTTGCACAAATCAACTCAGGTTCTCAAAAATTTACAAAATCACAGAATTTATTAACTTCTGAGAAAAGACTTCTGAGATCATCGCGTCCAACCTATGACTGAACACCGCCAGGTCAACTAGATCATGGCACTAAATGTCACATCCAGTCTTTCCTTAAACACCTCCAAGGGTCAGTGACTCCACCACCACCATAAGCAGTCCATTTAAATTACACTAAATATACGTTTTAGCAAACAAATCACAATTCATTGGAGTATTTAGCCTTCTATTGGTTTAATGATTTTCTTGCTTCTCATGCTATTAAGTCCTCATGCTCAATCTTTCTCTTCTTTTGAGCTGGTGGTCAACGGTGTTTGAGTCTCCATGGTGGCTGGGAACTGGCACTGATTCCTTGCATTATAAAGGGCACGGGACCTGTGGCCAGACAGGTGACAAGAGACACAGCAAGTGACAATAGACAGGTGACGCAGCAGGAGCTGAACACTCACAGGATGACCCCAGACTCTTGGATAAAAGCCCAGGTGATCCTCTGTTCAGGATCACTCCTTTAAAGCTATGATGCCTGTTTCACTGATAAGGCAAGACTCTGTTTCCCAACCCCCTTCTCATTCTCTGTAACTCTCTGGGTGGATCATTGGCTATTTCTGACTCTTCGGGTGTCAGCATCATTGTAATACCTTCTCTCTCAGCTCAGATTTGCAGGTCCAAAATGGAGACATTGAAAGTTTTCCAAAGTAAAAAACTGGGGTCTCAGACACTGTAGCAGCAGCCACAAACTTCTGTCCTGTGCCTGGGTCACTCTGGTGAGGCAGTGAAGGTTGGATTGCTCACATTACTGGTTCCCTGGCAGAAGTGCTGTCTCATCTCCCGCTTGCCTCCTGTTCTCTGGAAGGCCAAAAGATGGACATTTTCACACTGGCTGCAGCAGAGCTTCACACACATGGGTCCCACAGGCCAGATGGCTTTGTTGGAGTGGCACAAAGGGGTCACTTGCAGTGACTTCCCCAGGCTGCCTCCTGGCAAGGTCTCACCAAAAATGCATCCACTTCCAGGTTTGGTTCCCATTGGCCAGGTGAACCAGAACAGCTCCCTCGCATGCCTCCTGCTATTGCAATGAGTAATGTGATCACAGCCTGTATCAGAAAATCTCCAGACATGTAATAACAACAAAGGCCTTTTGTAAGTTGTTTGTGACTGACTTTGTTCACTATCTCTGAGTGCATTTTGAAATTTATCTAAAAACTGCTGTAGGAGGGTAGTTGTTACCTCTGTGAATAATAGAAAAACACAACAAATACAGCTCTGACCAAACTTCTTCCTTTATTCAGATATATCTGAAAGCACTCCCCGAATAAATTCATCCTCTATATATATTTATATGTAAATATATATATAAATCTCTTACTAGCTTGAAGTTCCTTTTACTAATTGCTTGCTAACATAACTTTTTAATGTTTGCTACATAAGAAGCTTGTGGATATTTTAAATTTCTTTGTCTTTCTGATTTTTATGATAAGCTTTGTTATGCCACTCTCTTCTAGAAAAATACCCTCTTCCAGTTCCTTTTTTGATTCTGACAGGCATTATGATAGCAGTAAAAAGATCTCCGTGTGTAACGCTACCTGGTTTACATAACACATGCCATTATCTCTGCTAGCTTCTACTTTATCTCTAATTATTAGACATCTAGTCCTCTTTCTTTGGCAGCCAAGTTCAATACCTCAGAAGTAATGAAAGCCTTGTTATTATTGTACCCGCTTTTCTCTGTATATTCTTCTTTAAAAGCCAAAAGAATGTGTGTGCGTGCATGTATGTATGCTATTTTCAGATCATTCACAGTTAGCTCATTTTCTGTTACTTTCTTCTGAACCTTTCTTTTATTGAAATAATACAAGGGAAGTTTCACAGAAAAATGTGTAGATCTGTTTCCTGGTATAGCCAGTTTGAATTTCTTTTTACTGTTATCATTCTTTAAACAATTTTTAAATCCACCCAGTTAAACCCACTAAGCCTCCTTTCTTGGATTCTTCTTTAATCCTTTTCATATGCACATTATTTCTTCTCTCTATTTTCTAGGTCATCAAATCGAAAAGTTAAATTTTACTCATTTTCTGAGCTTTGGCAATTACAGCAAATATTTCTTTTGTGATCTCTCTGCTATGTCTCAACTGTTGTAACTTTCTCACTTAAATCCTTTCTATCCCGTGCTTTTTATTGAAGGAACTCCCTCAGCACCTCTTTTAAATGCAGGTACATAATTAAATCTTGTTTGCAGTAACAATGCTTTAGGATGGAAATATAATCAAAACCTATTAACTTGGTCTAGGTAAGCTAGTATTTGCTGAAGTGATTGCTAAGGTAAAAGCAGTGTGTTCTGAACATTTCTGCCTCACTAATGAAAAAAAATATGCAATGAAAAAGTATTCAATTATGTCATATTCATTCAAAGTCCTTTTTAAAAAAAATTTTGTTTGATTTGAAAATCTCGGAAGGGACTTTGTGCTGGTATCCAGTCTCAGGTTTTGGTCTGGCTAATTTAAATCTGTCTAGAGATGAAACTTACCTGAATATCCAAACATACCAAGCCTATATTTCAGTGCAATTCAGAATTAGTTAACAGTGTTAAGCACTTTACCCACTGAGTGTTCATTGACCACATTTGCTCCTCCTAGCTGCTGACCTGTAAAAGCAGCCTCCAGTGCAATTTCAGCAACACAAGTGGCAATGCAGCCCCCATTTGTCTGCATTTCTTTCGTCTTTTTCAAAGTAAAACAACAGTCCCACCCCCAATCTGGACAAAAATCTTCCTGTCATATTCAACCTTGCATAAACCATCTGGTATGTGCTGTTAAATAAGCTCAATGTTGTGTGTCACTTGTAGATCATTACAAAGGCAGGTGGAGCTGTTCATTTCATAGCAGTTAGAAGCAATCCTGTATCAAGTGGCCTAATAAGTCTTAATAAAGCAAGTTTATGAAGTCCTCCATTACATGCAGCAGGGAAATCTGTCACAGGAAAGAGTGCTGGGTATATGATGTGATGACTAGTTGGTGGATAAAGGGAGAGCAGCGTACACTGTTTATCTTAAGTAAGGCTTTTGATTGTCTCCCATTACACCCTGACAGACAAACTGATGAAGCATGGGCTATTAGGATGGATCTGGAGCTGCACTTAAATTTGGCAGAACTGCAGAGCTCAAAGGTTTGAGATTGGCCACAAAAAATGCAGCTGGGGACCACTCATCCTCAGAGTGTGCCCTCAGCAAGTTTACAGATGATATAAAACTGGGTGGAATGCCTGGTACATCAGATGGTTGTGCTGCCATTCAGAGGGACCCGAACAGGCTGGAGAACTGGGCCAAGAGGGATCTCAAGAAGCACAGCAAAGGGAAATGTGAAGTCCTGCACCTCGAGAGGAATAACCCCATGCACCAGTACATGCTGGGGGCCAACTGGCTGGAAAGGAGCTTGGCAGAAAAGGACCTGGGGATGCCAGCTGACATAAGTTGAACCAGCAATGTGCCACTTGCTGCAGAGGTGGCCAAAAGCTTCTTGGGCTGCATTAGGAAAAGCACTGCCAGGAGGTAGACCAAAGTGATTCTTTCCTTCTGTGCAGCACCAGTGAGGCCACAGCTGCAGTGCTGGGTCCAGTCATGGTGTCCCCAGTACCGCAGGGACATACTGGAGTCTAGAGAAGGGCCACTAAGATGAGTAATGGAATGAAGCATCTTTAGTATGAGGAAAGGCTGAGAGAGCTGGGACTGTTCAGCCTGGAGAAGAGGAGGCTCTGGTGGGAACTCATCCGTGTGTATCTGAAGGAAGGATGCAAAGAAGATGGAGACAGACTTCTTGGTGGTGCACAGTGAAGGAACAAGAGAAAGAAGGCACAAATACATGAAACTCCTTTTAATCATAAAACCAAATTTCTGTGATGAGAATGGTTATCTCTAAGCATCTCAAACACTAAAACAGGTTGTTCATAGAGCTTGTATGGTCTCCATCTTTGGTGATATTAAACACTTGATTGAAAAAGTCCCTGAAGAACCTTCTCTAGTTAACTGCTTTGAGCAAGGGGGTTGGACTAGATGATCTCCAGAGATTTTTTCAAACCTTAAATATTCTGGGATAGATGTAAATTTTTTAAAATTTCTTAAAATCTTATTCAGATTTGGCTGAAATTTTAGATTTTGGAAATTGCCTTGATCAATCTCTAGCTTGCATTGCATGGTGTGGTTTAACCACTGCATCCTGCAAACTCTGTCCCTTACCCTCTCTCTAACCAGCAATTGATTCCCTCCATGCTCAGTGCTCGAAAGCTGCTCAGCCAAAAGCTGAGATCTCCCAGTGAAGTTACACCAGCTTCCCAAGTGAAATAGGCTTCAGTTGTACCCATGTTTGTGCTGACACACAGCACGCAAAGACTTCTTTTACCAGCTAACTAAGCATTGTGAGCAATCTACCAGCTGCACACCCACTATGCAATTGTCCCTACATCAATGATTGCTTTCACTGATTTCCTGATATTTCTGCTGCCTCTGCCAGTGACTGGAAATCCCTGGCATGTTAGTGAAATGCTTGATTTTCCTCTACTGTGCCTTTTGAAACAGCTAGACAAACAGAACTCCCCATGACTTTGGTGCTCCTTGTCAATTCAAGACCCAAATTTCTTTA